TTTTTCTGGTATTGAGTTGTATCAGCTGCGTGTATATTTTGGAAATTAATCTTTTGTCAGTTGTTTCATTTGCTATTATTTTCTCCCATCCCGAGGGCTGTCTTTTCACTTTGCTTATAGTTTGCTTTGCTGTGCAAAAGCTTTTAAGTTTAATCAGGTTCCAGTTGTTTACTTTTGTTTTTATTTCCATTACTCTAGGAGGTGGGTCATAGAGGATCTTGCTTTGACTTATGTCATCGAGTGTTCTGCCTATGTTTTCCTCTAAGAGTTTTAAAGTTTCTGGTCTTACATTTAGGTCTTTAGTCCATGTTGAGTTTATCTTTGTGTATGGTGTTAGGAAGTGTTCTAATTTCATTCTTTTACATGTAGCTGTCCAGTTTTCCCAGCACCACTAATTGAAGAGGCTATCTTTGCCCTATTGTATATTCTTGCCTCCTTTGTAAAAAATAAGGTACCCATAGGTGCATGGCTTTATTTCTGGGCTTTCTATCTTGTTTCATTGGTCTATATTTCTGTTTTTGTGCCAGTACCATATCATCCTGATGACTGCAGCTTTGCAGGATAATCGGAAGTCAGGAAGGTTGATTCCTCCAGCTCCATTCTTTCTCAAGACTGCTTTGGCTATTCAAGACTGCTTTGGCTATTAGGGGTCTTCTGTGCTTCCATGTGAATTGTGAAATTTTTTGTTCTAGCTCTGTGAAAAATGCCATTGGTAATTTGATAGGGATCACACTGAATCTGTAGATTGCATTTGGTAGTGTACTCATTTTCACAATATTGATTCTTCCTACTCAGGAACATGGAATATCTCCATCTGTTTATGTCATCTTTGATTTCTTTCATCAGTGTCTTATAATTTTCTGTATACAGTTCTTTTGTCTCCTTAGGTAGGCTTATTCCTAGATATTTTATTCTTTTTGTTGCAATGGTGAACGGGACTGATTCCTTAATTTGTCTTTCTGATTTTTCATTGTTAGTATATAGGAATGCAAGTGACTTCTGTGTATTGATTTCATGTCTTGTGAATTTGCTAAATTCATTGATTAGCTCTAGTAATTTTCTGATAGTATCTTTAGGGTCTTCTATGTATAGCATCATGTCATCTGTAAACAGTGAGAGCTTTACTACTTCTTTTCTGATCTGGATTCTTTTTATTTCTTTTTCTTCTGCTGTAACTAGGACTTCCAAAACTATGTTGAATAATAGTGTTGAGAGTAGACACCCTGTCTTGTTCCTGATCTTAGGAGGAATGTTTTCAGTTTCTCACAATTGAGAATAATGTTTGCTATGGGCTTATCATATATGGCCTTTTCTATATTGAGTAAATGGCACGTCTATGGCCATTTTTTGAAGAGTTTTAATCATAAATGGGTGTTGAATTTTGTCAAAGGCTTTTTCTGCATCTATTGAGATTATCATATGGTTTTGATCTTTCAGTGTGTTAATATGGTGTATCATATTGATTGATTTGCATATACTGAAGAACTGTTGCATCCCTGGGATAAACCCAACTTGATCACGACATATGAACTTTTTAATATGTTGTTTAATTATGTTGAATTTTGTTGAGGATTTTTGCATATATGTTTGTCAGTGATATTGGCCTGCAGTTTTCTTTTTTGGTGTTGTCTTCATCTGGTTTTGGTATCAGGGTGATGGTGGCTGTGCAGAATGAGTTTGGAAGTATTCCTTCCTCTGCAATTTTTTGAAAGAGTTTTAGAAGGATGGGCATTAGCTCTACTCTAAATGCTCGACAGAATTCACCTGTGAAGTCATCTGGTCCTGGGCTTTCGTTTTTGAGGAGATTTCTGATTACAGTTTTTATTCCAGTACTTGTAATTAGGTTGTTCATAATTTCTATTTCTTCCTGGTTCAGTCTTGGAAAATTGAACTTTTCTAAGAATCTGTCCATTTCTTCCAGGTTATCCATTTTATTGCCATATCAGTTCAGTTCAGTCACTCAGTCGTGTCCAACTCTCTGTGACCCCATGAACCACAGCACGCCAAGCCTCCCTGTCCATCACCAACTCCTGGAGTCCACCCAAACCCATGTCCATTGAGTTGGTGATGCCATCCAACCATCTCATCCTTTGTTGTCCCCTTCTCCTCCTGCCCTCAATCTTTGCCAGCATCAGGGTCTTTTCAAATGAGTCAGCTCTTTGCATCAGGTGGCCGAAATATTGGAGTTTCAGCTTCAACATCAGTCCTTCCAATGAACACCCAGGACTGATCTTCTTTAGGATGGACTGGTTGGATCTCCTTGCAGTCCAAGGGACTCTCAAGAGTCTTCTCCAACACCACAGTTCAAAAGCATCAATTCTTTGGCGCTCAGCTTTCTTTATAGTCCAACTCTCACATAGCCTTGACTAGATGGACCTTTGTTGGCAAAGTAATATCTCTGGTTTTTAATATGCTGTCTAGGTTGGTCGTAACTTTCCTTCCAAGGAGTAAGTGTCTTTTAATTTCATTGCTGCAATCACCATCTGCAGTGATTTTGGAGACCAGAAAAATAAAGTCAGCCACTGTTTCCACTGTTTCCCCATTTATTTGCCATGAAGTGATGGGACTGGATGCCATGATCTTAGTTTTCTGAATGTTGAGCCTCAAGCCAACTTTTTCACTCTCCTTCATCAAGAGGCTCTTTTCTTCCTCTTCACTTTCTGCCATAAGGGTGGTGTCATCTGCGTATCTGAGGTTATTGATATTTCTCCCGGCAATCTTGATTCCAGCTTGTGCTTCCTCCAGCCCAACGTTTCTCATGATGTACTCTGCATATAAGTTAAATAAGCAGGGTGACAACATACAGCCTTGACGTACTCCTTTTCCTATTTGGAACCAGTCTGTTGTTCCATGTCCAGTTCTAACTTTTGCTTCCTGACCTGCATACAGGTTTCTCAAGAGGCAGGTCAGGTGGTCTAGTATGCCCATCTCTTAAAGAATTTTCCCAAGTTTATTGTGATCCATACAGTCAAGGCTTTGGCATAGTCAATAAAGCAGAAATACATGTTTTTCTGGAACTCTCTTGCTTTTTTGATGATCTAGCGGATGTTGGCAATTTGATCTCTGGTTCCTCTGCCTTTTCTAAAACCAGCTTGAACATCTGGAAGTTCACAGTTCACGTATTGCCATATAGTTGTTCATAGTAGTCTCTTACCATTCTTTGTATTTCTGCATTGTCTGTTGTAACCTCTCCTTTTTCATTTCTAATTTTGTTGATTTGATTCTTTTCTCTCTTTTTTCCTTGATGAGTCTGGCTAAAGGTTTGTCAATTTTGTTTATCTTCTCAAAGAGCCAAATTTTAGTTTTATTAATCTTTACTATTGTTTCTTTCATTTCTTTTTCATTTACTTTTGTTCTGATCTTTATGATTTCTTTCCTTCTGCTAATTTTGGGATTTTTAAGTTCTTCTTTTTCCAGCTGTTTTAGTTGTAAAATACTCCCATTTCTTAAAGCGATCTGTAAGTTAATGTGTTTTTTTTTTTCTTTTTTTTGCTTCCCCACTTGGCAGGCAGTCTTCAGTTACCCAACCAGAAATCAAACTTGTGCCCCCTGCAATGAAAGCCTTCAGTCCTAAACACTGAACTGACAGGGAATTCCCTGGAAGTGGATGTTAAAATCCAAAGAAATTTTTCAATCAAGTATTGATTTATGAATTCTACCTCCTCAGTAAACTAGAAGGCAAATAGAGAGGCTACAATCAAAAGCACCAGAGGAAAGTGGTGCTATGGAAACAATTCATTTGTGTTTGGCATAGTGAAGATTCACTGCCAATTTGTAACAGTATGAATTCAATAACTTTTCAAAGCCAAAAATGAGGTTTGGACCTGAGCAGCTTTCCCAAGTAGCTTTTGCTGAGGACTAGTAGCTAATATAACATAAAAAAGCTGTTAGAGGTGGTAAAGAGATGCAATGTATAGGAACTAAAATATGACCTATCACTTGTTTTGCTAAAAGAAAAAAAAGAGCACTGAGCTGAAGGCAAGATATTTTGCTTCATTTATTTACTCTTTCTTGAGATAACTTCATAAAAAGGAGATGGGGTTTATATTTTTGATGCTTAACTTCAACCATCTATAAATGACAGTATTACTTGTCCTACTCATCTCATGAGTCTGACAGAAGGATAAGTGAAATAAGAGCTGCTAAATCATTGTTCAAAATGTAAAGAGACAGCAATGTAAGACATAATTATATTTTTAAAATTTGTAAGCAATTTTTAATGAAGTCATTTTAATGATGCCAGTCCCACTGGCCAAGTACACATTATTGATGAAGTAACTTAGTGATATTTTCTCAGCCCTTTATGGAATTATGTTTATAAAAAATATGAATATTTGCTTACCTGACAGTTCCTACTCATTTGGTTTCACTTTTATAACCTAATACTTATAATAAATCCAATATAAATCCACTTAAAAAGTGAAAATTTGGAACATTATTTCATAAAATCACTAAAATCTCTGTCATTATATATCAAGCATATCTCAGTATTACTGAAAAGAGTTTTCAGTTTTATTTTTATTTAAAAAAATATTTATTTTTATTTTATTTATTTGGCTGCACCAGGTCTTAGCTGCAGCATGCAGAATCTTTAGTTGCACATGTGGGATCCCTGACCAGGGACTGAACCTGGGCCCCCTGAATTGCGAGCATGGAGTCTTAGCCATTGGATCACCAGGGAAGTCTCAGAGTTTTCAGTTTTAAATATTTAAATATATATTAAATATATATATATAAATATATATATAATATTTATATATTAAAAATTTAAATATTAAGAAGTTTCATAAAATAAATGAACTTCCAATTATTTTATCTTTCTTTTTTTAAATTATTTTTTAGTTGAAGGATAAACACTTTACAGAATTGTGTTGGTTTCTGCCAAACAGCAACATGATGAATGTCCCATTACTGACAGACAAACTAAAAAGTAAAAAACATTAATGGTTTCAAACAAAAGCAATAACCATATTCTCGTCCCATTAGACATCTCAACTTACCTCATCTCCCTTCAAAACTTCAGTGCCGTCAAATTCACGGGTCTGATTTGTCTTCACTGACACTTCTCTCTCTAGGTTGGCTAACTTTTCCTTTGCTTCCTGAAGTTCTTCAGCTTTGGCTTCTTTTTTACGAGAAATGATAGATGCCTAATTGAGCATTAAATAAGAATGTAAAATGAGACAATCAACTTTGTATTATTTTCTGAAATTATGTATTTTTTAGATTTTACTGACTGAGCTAAATTTTCAGTATCAGGTTGACTTCTCCTGACAATACCCTTTGCCCTACCACCTGCTATCATGAGTTTGATATTTAGTATAAGTATGCTATATATATATATATATACACACACACTCACATATATACACATATCCCCTTCATAGATCACTGCCTTGTCATGGCGGAGAGGCTGGCATAACTCTGAATCTATCAGCAATGCCGTGCAGGGCCACCCAAGATGGGCAGATCTTAGCAGAGAGTTCTGACAAAACATGATCCACTGGAGAAGGGAATGGCAAACCATTCCAGTATACTTGCCGTGAGAACCTCATGAACTGTATAAAAGGCAAAAAAGATATGATACCAAAAGATAAGTCCCTTGGGTCTGAAGGTGTCCAATATGCTACTGGGGAATGGAGAAGAATTACCAATAGACCTAGAATGAATGAAGAGGCTGGGCCAAGGCAGATACAACACTCAGTTGTGGATGTGCCTGCTGATGAAAGTAAAATCCGATGCTGCAAAGAACAGTACTGTATAGGAACTTGGAATGTTAGGTCCATTAATCAAGGAAAATTGGATGTGGTCAAGCAGGAGATGGTAAGAATAAAAATTGACATCCTAGGAATCAGTGAACTAAAACTGACAGGAATGGGCGAATTTAATTCAGATGACCATTGTATTTACTACTGTGGGCAAGAATCCCATAGAAGAAATGGAGTAGCCCATATAATTGCCGAAAGAGTCAAAAATATGGTACTTGGGTGCGACATCGGAAATGACAGAATGATCTGTTTGTTTCCAAGGCAAGCCATTCAATATCACAGTAATCCAAGTCTATGCTCCTACCACCAATGCTGAAGAAACTGAAGTTAATCAGCTCTATGAAGGCCTGGAAGACCTCCTAGAACTAACACCTAAAAAAGATATTCTACTCATCATTAGGGATTGGAATGTAAAAGTAACAAGTCAAGATAAACCTGGAGTAACAGGCAAGTTTGGCCTTGGAGAACAAAATGAAGCAGGGCAAAGGTTAACGAATTCTGCCAAGAGAATGTACAAGTCATAGCAAATACCGTTTTTCAACAACACAAAAGACAACTTTACACATGGACACCACGAAATGGTCAATACCTAAATCAAATTGATTACATTCTTTGTAGACAAAGATGTAGGAGAAGCTGCATACAATCAGCAAAAACAAGACCTGGAGCTGACTGTGGCTCAGATCATGAGCTTCTCACAGCAAATTCAGACTTAAACTAAAGAAAGCTGGGAAAAACACTAGGCCAGCCAAGTATGACTTAAATTCATATGAATTCACAGTAGAGGTAACCAACAGATTCAAGGGGCTAGATCTAGCTAACGATGTGCCTGAAGAATGATGGACAGAGGTCTGTAATATTGTACAGGAGGCGGCAAACAAAACCATCCCAAAGAAAAAGAAAAGAAGGCAAAGTGGTTATCTGAGGAGGCTTTACAAATAGTGGAAGAATGAAGAGAAGTGAAAAAGCAAGGGAGAGAGGGAAAGGTACATTCAATTAAATGCATAGTTCCAAAAAATAGCTAGAAGAGCCAAGAAGGCCTTCTTCGATGAACAATGCTTAATAATAGAAGGAAACAAAAAAAGGGAAAGACTAGAGATCTCGTCAGGAAAACTGGAAACATCAAGGAAGAATTCCACCCAAAGATGGGCACAATAAAGGGTAAAAATGGTAGAGACCAAGTAGATGCTGAAGAGATCAAGAAGAGATGAAAAGAATCCACTGAAGAACTGTATAAAAAAGATCTTAATGAACTGGGTTACTATGATGGTGTGGTTAGTCACCCAGAGTCAGACATTCTGGAGTGTGAAGTCAAGTGGACCTTAAGAAGCACTGCTGTTAATAAAGCGATTGGATGCAATGAAATTCCAGCAGAACTATTCAAATCCCTAAAGGATGATGCCATCAAGGTTTTACATTCACTGCAGAGCAATGCCTGCCAATATAGCTGCTGCCACTCCCTAAGGACAAAGGGATGGGAAAATGTAGGATGCTGGCCCCAGATAGCTGTGTTAGTTGCTCAGTTGTGTCTGACTCTTGGTGACCCTATGGACTGTAGCCTGCCAGGCTCCTCTGTCCATGGAATTCATCAGGCAAGAATACTGAAGTGGGTTGCCATTCCATTTTCCAGGGGATCTTCCTGACCCAAGGATCGAGTCTGGGTCTCCTGCACTGCAGGCAGATTCTTTACCATCTGAGCCACCAGGGAAGTCCTTGGCACTCATTATGTCAGCAAATCTGGAAGACCCAGCAGGAGCCACAGGACTGGAAAAGGTCAATCCTCTCACCCCAATTCTCAAGAAGGGTAGTACCAAAGAATGCGCTAACCATCAGACAATTGCACTCATTTCCCATGCTAGTAAGGTCATGCTTAAAACCTTGCATGCTAGGCTTCAGCATTATGTGAACCAAGAACTTTCAGATGTCCAAGCTGGGTTTAGAAAAGGAAGAGGAGCTAAAGATCAAATTCAGTGGATTATAGGAAAAGCAAGGGAATTTCAGAAAAACATCTCTATTTCACTGACTTCGCTAAAGACTTTGACTATGTAGATCATGACAAACTGTGGAAAGTTCTTAGAGAGATGGGAATACCAGACCATCTCACTTGTCTCTTGAGAAATCTGTATGCGGATCAAGAAGCAACAGTTAGAATCCCGTATGAAATAACTGATTGGTTCAAGATTGAGAAAGGAGTACAACAGGGCTGTCTGCCGTCACCTTGTTTGTTTAATCTATATGCTGAGCACATCACAAGAAATGCTGGGCTGGATGAGTTACAAGCTGGAATCAAGATAGGCAGGAGAAACATCAATAACCTCAGATATGTGGATGATACCACTTTAATGGCAGAAAGCAAAGAGGAACCAAAGAGCTTCTTGATGAGGGTGAAGGAGGAAAATGAATGAGCCAGTTTAAGACTAAATATTAAAAAAACTAAGATTATGGTATCCAGCCCCATTACTACATGGCAAATTAGAAGGGGAAAAGGTGGAAGTAGTGACAGATTTCCTCTTCTTGGGCTCCAAAATAACTGCGGATGGTGTCTGTAGCCATGAAATCAGAAGACAAGTGCTTCTTGGCAGGAAAGCAATGACAAACCTAGAGAGAGTGTTGAAAACCAGACATCACTCTGCCAACAAAGGTCCATATAGTCAAGGCTATGGTCTTCCCAGTGGTCACGTTTGGTTGTGAGAGCTGAAATGTAAAGAAGACAGAATGCCAAAGAACTATCATGCCTTCGGACTATGGTGCTAGAGAAGACTCCTGAAAATCCCTTGGATAGCAAGACCAAACCAGTGAAGCTTAAGGGAGATCAACACTGAATATTCACTGAAAGGACTGATGCTGAAGCTGAAGCTCCAGTATTTTGGTCATCTGATGCGCACAGATGACTCATTGGAAGCCTCTGATGCTGGGAAAGATTGAGGGCAGAAGAAGAGGGTATCAGAGGATAAGATGGCTGGACAGCATCACCAATGCAATGAACATGAATTTGGGCAAACTCTGGGAGATGCTGAGGGACAGGGAGGCCTGGCATGCTACAGTCTATGGGGTCACAAAGAGTCAGACATAACTGGGTGACTAAACAACAACAATAATATACACATACATGTATATTTATATATGTATCAGACTGTACCACATGGCTTGTGGGATCTTATCTTCCCTACCAGGGGTTGAACCTGGGCCCCAGCAGTGAAAGCACCAATTCCTAACCATCCCACCCCCCAACCAGGGAATCCCCTGCAATGTGCATTAAATAGCAACCTTAAAACATTTTGGAAGGCAAAATATAGGATATATCAGCAGAGAAACAGAAATGCAATAGTAGTAAAAATATTAAAATTTGTCAACTAACACTGAAATGCCAATGAAAATATCTTCTAGGTAAACCCAGAAGCTAACACTAAGTCTGCTGTTTTTCTGCATGGTTGGTTTCCTTTCACAGGAAAAAAACAAGAATGCTTTATTCCCAAAACTACAATACAGGTCATCCTATCTAAATTCAATATCCATACTTTTAAAATAAAATGTTAAAACACTTATTATATTTGGGGCATTCTAATAAATAAAATGCAGATTGAAAATTATACACCTGATTCACCAGAATTACACAAATGTTTACACAACCCAGATGGCTGCTCTTAGTCATAAATGCAGCATTTATGGATAATGTAGCATTAGCAACTTGTGGGGGATTTCTTTAAATGAACCATGACTGTACTAGGTTAAGAAAGACATTAGCCAAACTGTCTTCTCCAGTGAAATAGTACAAATATTTTTATCAAACAAATTTTATAAGAGAGGGAAATCTTTAGTGCAAACCCTTTAAACAATTCTCCCTGTTTAAAAAATGAAAATACACGTGATATGAGAATATAGATGCTCTACCTTGCTTATAGTAAGATTATGTGAAAAGATGATCAACCTTGTTTATAGTAAGATAAATAAACATTAAAACTATCATAAAATACCATTTCTTATCTACAAGGATAGCAAAAATCTAAAAGTTTGACAACATACTCTACTGGTGAGGCTGTAAGGAAATAGGTGCTCTCATATACTGCCATAGGAATATAAAATGCTAAAACCCCTATGAAGAGAAATTTGGCAATATCTAGCAAACTTACATACACATTTACTGTTTGATGTAGCAATCTCACTTCTGAGACTATATCCCAAAGACACACTGACAAAAAATGCAAAGACATAAACGAAAAGCTATTTATTGATGTATGATTTGCAATAGCACAAGAATGGCAACAACCCAAATGTTCATCAACTGGGGATTGGCTGACTGAACTGATATACCCACTCAGTGGAGTATGTCTGTGAACAGAAATAAGCATATCCACTACAGTGGATACAAAAAAGACAGATAATAACAAGTGTTGGTACAAATGTGGAGAAATCAGAACCTTCACACACTGTTGGTGGCAATGCAAAGTGGTACAGCTTCTTTGGAAAGTAGTCTGGCATTTCCTCAAAATGTTACATACAGAATTATCATTGAACCAACAATTGCACTCATACGAGTATACTCATGAGAAATGAAAATTTATTTTCAAACAAAAACTTGTATAAGAATATTCCTACCAGCATTATTTATAACAGCCAAAAAAGTAGGGACAACCCAAAATGCTCATTAACTGGCAAACAGAAAAACAAAAGGTGATATACCTGTATAATGGAATATTATTCAGTAATAAAAAGGTTTAAGCATGTAGAAATACATGCTAACAACAAGAAGTCAAAGTGTCAGTCACTCAGTCATGTCCGACTCTTTGGAACCCTATGGACTGTAGCCTGCCATGCTCCTCTGTCCATGGAATTCTCCAGGCAAGAATACTGGAGTGGGTTGCCATTCCCTTCCCCAGAGGCTCTTCCTGACCCAGAGATCGAACCCTGGCCTCCTACATAGAAGGAAATTCTTTACTGCCTGAGTCACCATACATGAAGGAACTTTAAAAACAGTATGCTAAATATAAGAAGCCAGCCACAAAGGACAACATATGATATGATTCCATTTATATGAAATGTCCATGACAGGGAAATTTACAGAACTAGTTTGGTCTTTTGTAGCTGACTGGGGCTGAGGATCTGGGGGAAAATGGGAAGTGACTGCTAATGGGCTCAGGTTTCTTTTTTGGCATGATAAAAATGTTCTAAAATTGATTAATGGCTGTACAGCTCTGATACTAAATATAATTGAATTTACAGCTTAATGGGTGAATTGTATGGTATGCGAATTATATCTCAATAAATTATATCTCAATAAAGTTATAAAGGAATAAAGATTATTCTACTATTCAACAGCATATATTGAGAAAAAAAGCAGTACGAACAAAAGTGTGTATAATATGCTCTTCTTTCTCTAAGGATGGAAATATATGAATATATGTATATATAATATTATTTTTAGTGTAATAATAAACTTGTGTGTAACATATGGACTAAAGCAAATGATGAATTATGTTGATGCCATTAGGGGATTTTGTTCTCAGGAGAATAGACAACCCTGCACTTTCAAGACACAGATTCCAGTGTCTAGTCATAGGTCAATTTAAAAGGATGAAGAATATCCACCATTGGTCACACTACAGGAGGCCAGGGATGATCACATTAAAGTGGGTGGGGCTTTTCCATCCAGAACAAACAAGTGGGAAGTGGGGTTTACTGTGGGATCTCATAAACCACAGAGAAATTAACCTAATCATCCTGGCTCTTTTCCACACTCTATCCTGCAGGACAAACATCCTCTAAGGAGTCAGCGAAAGAGTGCTTGGAAAAGAGTCATAATAATTACCTAATATTTTCTGGATAGAGCTTTATATGCTCTTCTACATATTTCTTTTACTCTAAAGTTGTTCTCTGAGGAACCGATGTCTTATTCTAATCATGAGCCGTGCTTCTCTGCTCTGATATGAGGCCATCTACTCAGCAGGAATGAATATTGTGAATTTAGTCTTATTCAGAGAAGCTATATCAAAAAGACTGCTTGCCATAAATAATTGAGCAAGACTGTTTTGCTATAAACAAAAATTGGTCAGAATGGCCCTGTCTGACAGCAAAGTAAAGATAAAAAAGAAGCTGGCCTAACTTCAACTCCTCTACACTCCAGGGAATGGCAAAATACCAACTAGAAAGTATTCTTGAAAAAAACACAACCTGTTCAAGTTTCTAGTTCTATTATATAGGAAATACAGGACACAGAAGAACATTTTAAAAGGACACCATTCAGTTGTAATCAACAAAACATCAACTATGGGAAATACCATAGGAAAAATAAATTTCTTCAATAAAAAACTACAAAAAAATTATTAAATAAATGGATAAATAAGGAAGAGAGTCTATAGATTAAGACAGATTTAAACATCAAACAAATGCAATGTATAAATCCTGTATGGATCCTAATTAAAACAAAGCAACTAAAAAAAAAAAACAAAAAGAGACAAGGAAATCTGAACATTGATTGGATATTTTCCAGTATTAAGGAAATATTAAAAATTTTAAATATGGTATGTTGTTAAGCTCTTTAAAAGCTTTTATTTTTTAGAGATACATTCTGAAATATTTACATGTGAAATAATATGAAATCTTAAATTTACTTCAAATAATCCAGATGCGGCTGGGGGCTACAGATGAAATAAGAATGGCCATATAGCTATAGCTGAAGGACACACAAGGATTTATTTGGACTATTTTCTCTACCTTTGTATATGGTCAAATTTTTCCATTATAAAAAGGTTTTAAAAAAATTCTAGCATCCTTGAATAATGCTTTGTTATGTAGCTCAGTATTTTCAAATTGGCTGTCACTTGAATCTTCTGTCTAGCAATACCTAACAACATATATATCCTCATGATTTAATACTTCTGTATAAAATGATAAATGCCTTGGCCCTAAAATTTAATTTATGCTGTATTTTTTCAAGCTAACTTTAAACCTGAAAAAGTATATTGCCTTTAGTTCATTAGGACTTCCCTTGTGGCTCAAGCAGTAAAGAATCTGCCTACATTGTAGGAGACACCTAGGTTCGATCCCTGGATCGGGAAGATCCCTGGAGAAGGGCATGGCTACTCACTCCAGTATTCTTGCCTGGAGAATTCCATGGACAGAAGAGCCTGGCAGGCTACAGTCCATGGGATTGTAGAGTAGGACACTACTGAGCGACTAACACTTTGACTTTAGTTCATTAAAGATTAGAAATATTTATTTCTGTCACTTGAGGTAAGCATTCACATAAAAAATCAAATTTCACACTCATAGATATAAACACAAAGAGAACTATCACCACAGTTGGCACTATCACCACTAAGGAAACTGAGCATTACCAGATATATCAGATTTCAGACTTGAACATGCATCTTTGTGGCTTTTCCAGAAATTCTCTGATTTAATCTGGAGATTAACAATGACAGAAGAACCTTTATTCTTTATTTCCTTCTCACTTTAAGACTATCGATAACAGACCATGGTGTTTCTGAAGATATTCACTAACAAGATTACAGATCAAAGTATGTGAGCCAAAAAGAGTGGTCTTAAGTGTGTTCTTGGGCTTCCCTGGTAGCTCAGACAATAAAGAATCTGCCTGAAATGCAGGAGACGTGGGTTTGGGAGCCAAAAATCTCGAGAGGTCTTACCTGTTGCCTATATAGTGACAGTTTGCCTTCAATTGGTTCATTTCTCATCATTTTCTTTTCAATCAGCTGATTGATCTGTGTGTTTATTTCACTTATCTAAAACAGTATGAAAATAAAAAAGGTTAAAAACCCTGGCTATGATTACCTAAATTAAGGGACACCTGGTCAAACAAAGCTTTGAATTGATAGTTGTTATTATCAGTGATTTTGATAGGAGGATCAGTCCTATTAATACCATGGATGGGTTGTTATAATTACTGAGTCAATCTGCATTTCATGGTTCATGCTACATATTTACAGAATTGGATTAGTTACATGGATTTAACCATCCATGTCTACATTATCCTATTCTATATGAAGTATTTAAATTATTTTTAAAGACAATTTCTAAAAATCTGAAGTTATCCCTTCACCTAGGCTGTGACTTTTCAAGTAATTAAGTGATAAAGCAGATCTGGACTAACATTACCCAGGGATTTAGTACAAGGAATTTATGAACCTAGCTGAGAGTTGACATGAATGACATCTAAAAACCCTTTCTGTTCGAATGAATGATCTGTGATTCTATGACAGCTGTCATTTATCCCATTCATTAATCTAAACTTTTCTCAAATGTAATAAAACTGAATACAGGCAATAGAAGCATATAGTCCTATAAGTTTTTTTAATTATATGATTTTCAATATAACTATCCTTTGAAAAGACTAGAATTTTCCTGCTAATCCTATGAGATCAAATTTAAGCCAAATCTGAGTTGGACAACTAATTTCTAAACATAAATTAAAAGAATTATGTATTTAACTGTAGTGGTTATTAAGCCCATTAATGTCAAAATCCTTCAATCAATTTTCATGATATTTAATTATTATTTAAAGAAATAAACACTTGATTAGTATTTTATTTTTAAAAATCAAAAATGCTATGATATTAGGTTTCAATGAACATTACAAGAAAGTTTAATAATTCCAAAGCAGGCATAAAAAGCTAATAAAAAACATTAGCTTTAAGTACAAAATTGCTATATTATTTTTGGAAATAAAAAGTAATCATTTAAAATATTTTTTAAAATTTGTCATCTAAATGATTATATTATAAACATATAAACCTATGAGTCAACCATATGCATTAATTTATTTCTCCAAGTTACCCAGCTTCCTAATCAGTTGTGGATTAAGTAACAACATCATGTGTTATAATTTCTCATAAAGAACAATTCCTTATAAGAGCTGTCAACTCTTGGCAAAGGTTAATTTCAGAGTCAAGAGCAGAACACTACAGAAGCAGTTCACATAATTTTCACGGGACTGGAGAAGAGATAAAATTGGGAGCTTATAAAAAGGTGACTGTTACTTACTTTAGATTCAAGTTCAAGAAGATCAGAATGGCCCATAGCAGGCTCTGAAACCACTTTTTGTAAAAAATGCAATTCTTTTTTCTTGTTCTCTAATTCTTTAGGAAATTTTTCAGTTACCATATATGAATTAAACTTTATCTCCTCCTCTAGCCTCTTCATTAAACCTATAAAAATTAAATAAGTGATTATTCAGCCCAACAGAGTAGGTACAGTGATCCTTTCTACATTTTAAAGCATACAACCTGGAGAGAGTAGGTCTGACTCTGTGACCCCACGGACTGTAGCCCACAGGAATTTTCCAGGCAAGAATACTGCAGTGGGCTGACATTATAGAACAATAAAGGATTGGCCACTGAAACTTTTTGATGTTAATCAGAATGATAATAAAGGACAATTTACATAGAAGAATATTTAAATTACAGAAAAAGTAATATTATGATATTCCCAAATTACCATATAATTCTTTTATACTCCACATTATGCAAAAATAACATTTACAGAGCCAAATATATTGTTGGATCATATTTTGTCTTCTATGTATTTAAAGAACCCATGAACCAAATGACAACACAAATGAAGTCTAATCCAGGTTACTTCCTCTGTAAGTAGTCATTTATTCTTCTTCTTTTGCAGTACTTATGCAATTAATATTTCTATTCTAATACTTCACAAATCCTAATAATACATTGTAATTTTTAGGTTTAAACCAATGAAGACATTATTAAAGGTACAAGTTAAATTCTGAAAAAGAGAAATTATCTACATTCATAAACATTTTCAGTTTTCCACATTTGGTAGTTTTGATTTCATAAAGTATTAAGTTTACAGTTAAGTGACAACTTAGATTATATTTTTAAGATTTAATAGTTTTCTTATTCTGGCAGAGAGCACAATTGTACACATACACAGATTTTCAGTGAATAATGATTTTGTTATAAATTCCCAGCCTCAAGAGCTTTAAAAAGTTTATTTCAGATCTTTCCATTACACATCTACAAATTCTGGCTTGACTTTTTAAAACACCGGATTTCCGGTTTAAGTAATCTACGTACGTAAATTGCATAATAAATTTGGACCAAAGCCTTAAAATTATTTTTAGTTCTCCTGAGCTAACCATGTATTAATGGGTAAAAATTTATTAATGGCAAATTCACGAGTTTTCCATTCATCCCTACAATTTCCCATCTCTTTTTTTAGGGACTGGGGAATGGAAGGGAAGAGAGTGTTTAATGAATCACTACAATTAGGCAATCATTCCTATATGGTTTCCAATTAACTCTACACCCTGGCTTCTTTGGCTATTAGATGACCAGTTTTTCCATCTTCAAGTTTTTAAACATATCACATATAACCCAGAGATGCAAGAAATAAAGTCTAAAATGTTTTTAAAAGATTTTAAATTCTTAAATATCATTTGCCTATTTAAAAAAGTTCCTAATTCTAGAAAATACAAACTAATCTATAGTAACATAAAGCAGGTCAATGGTCGTCTGAGGAGGGTGAGAGGGACAGGAATGAGATATTACAAAGGAAATGTTTTGCAGTGATGGATATAGTAATATTTATATTTTGATTAAGGTGATAGTTTCATCAGGGTATACATATGTCAATACTTAACAAGTGTATAGTTTAAACATTTGCAGTTTATTATATGTCCATTTAACCTCAGTAAAGCTGAGATGAAGTCAACATAAAAAGAGTTTCTGTCACATTTTAAATCTTTCTCTTAAAAATCTTAACTTATACTTTGAAAAGTGGACATATTTCTATGCAATTTTTAAAAAATTATCTTTCAAAATCCTGGTGAACATGTATATGTATGGCTGAGTCCCTTCATGTTCACCTGAAACTACCACAACATTGCTAATTGACTATATCCCAATACAAAACAAAAAGTTTGATAAAAACATGCTGATGAGATAAATATAAGGTCACTAAGATCTCAGCAAACATTGTGATTAAAAACCCTCTGAAAACATCTTGCTGATCCTACTACAACTGAATAAGAAGCTTCTTTTATATAATAAATCTCAGGAATATGTAGAATATAAAGATAAATTAACTTCAGTGAATGTTTTATAATATGGCTGTTACTCAGAAAAAATACAAATTACACTGTGACACTAAAAATACTTTCACGTTATTTAAGCAAATAGAATTTTTTTGTAAGCCATTTTTTGTAACTAAAATATTTAGATGGGCCTTATTAAACTAAATACCTGAAGCAATTGAACATCTGTTTAATTTACTCTTTTCCTAGTCTGCTGAATATAATCCTTAAGACTCTGCTTCCCAGAACAATGTCAACAAAGCAGGGACTGAACTTCCTGCTCCCCATTCCCTGTCAACCCACAAAAAACACATATTGCACAAATAATACCTTATTTTAATATTTTTAGCTGTTTTTTCTTCCTTGATTCCCCTCCTACCTGTGGAAAAGATAATTTTCTTCCTATGCAGGGTTAGGGTCTCTACTTTCTCCTCCCAAGTATTTAACAGATTACTTACTAAATGCTTACTGTGCAAATCTGTGTGCTAAGGCCTGAAAATAGAATAATTATGACTTCATGACTAGCCCAGAGTTTAGCTGAGTCAGTCAGCTATGCCAACAATTAACATGTTATGGTAACTGCTGTAGAACATTCAATGAAATACCTGGGATACAATGGGAGCATACAGGAAAGGTTGCTACAGGTTCTTACCTTTTCCTCCTGAATCTTCACATCTTCCTTGGTCTGACTGACTCTTCAGTAATGTAAACACCACTACACCACTACCATCCCTCAAACTATGCATAGATTTCTCAATCATTCCCACACTCCCTCCCTTGCCTTCTTTTCAAAGACAAGCAGTCAGAAGCCTGACCTTTTATCTCTACTTCCTCCATCATTTGCTCAGCCCACTGCACTGTTATTTTAGGTCACTGTGCTTTAGCATGGAATGTCTTCTACTCCTCCACCTCTGCAGCTTTAAGTTACTCAATCACCACACCTCCAGGAAGCCATTTGACTCTGTGTTAGAGTAGCTCAGACGGTAAAGAATCTGCCTGCAATGCAGGAGTCCCAGGTTCAATCCCTGGGTTGGAAAAATCCTCTGGAAAAGGGAATGGCAACCCACTCCAGTATTCTTGCCCAGAGAATTCCATGAACAGAGGAGCCTGGCAGGTTATAGTCCATGGGGTTGCAAAGAGGCGGACATGACTGAGCGACTAACACACGTGCTGGAGTTTGGTGCTCTTTGCCTCTTTCTTTTCATTGAAGCTGGGCTCTATCAGTTTATTTGTCATGCTGCATTATTATTGTCCACTGCTTGTCATTCCTCCATTAGCCTGTGAGCACTTTAATAGAAATAGCTTTGCTTTTTATTTCCAGTACTTAGTATAGTACCTGACATGGAGCAGATGTTCAATAAACACTGAATTAACGGACTGAGCCAAGTATTTCTATTACTACTTAGCAATACAATTGATTTTATTATTTAGCAGAATCTACTAAACCATCTCAAGAGATGCCCCTAAAGAGAACAAATTTTATTTGTCCATTTTATTATTAAATATGTATTTCCTGACCTCAAAATTCTATTTAGTCTATAAAGCCAAAGCAAAATAAAGTCTATCTGCTCAAATAAAAAAATGAAATATTACTAACACTATAAATACCTTTGGATATTCTTAGTTACCAGAATTAAACCATAATAGCAAGAAATATTTAACCTAATAAAATTGAGGATAACAGACACTGAAGAAACACATGTTCGGGTTAACATTTTAAATTGTAGTAAACTGTGCTGATCAATAAGTTATTTTTCTGCTTACTAAATCTTTTAATTCTTCTACACATTACTTTCATTTTCAAAAATTCACTATTAATAGTAAGTTCTAAAAATTTCTTAGCAAAGATAGACCTATGCAAACAAATTTCTTGTTGATATTAATTTTTAAATGTGTATAATTTAATGAATTTCTTTTGAAGATTTATCTTAATTTTTTACACTAAAGATGTGAAGGAACCTACATCAAATCCAGAGATCATATACTAAAAAGTTATACTGTATATTATACTAAGGAGTAAAAAAGCACTAAAAATTACTTTCTTTTGTCCTAAACATTCTCCTAAAAAGTGAAAACCTAGTGAATAAAGAATCAAATGATGCCAACAACCACATGCACAGCAACTTCCAGGTATTGCTTGAATCTGAATTTATGATTGAGAGGACTGACAGATTTCACATGGTTAAACAACTCAGTCATGTCTGACTCTTTGCAACCCCATGGACTGTAGCCCGCCAGGCTCCTCTGTCCATGGTATTCTCCAGACAAGAATATTGGAGTGGGTAGCCACTGCCTTCTCCAGGTGATCTTCCCGATCCAGGGATCCAGGGATCCAAACTCCTGCATTACAGGCAGATTCTTTACCTTCTGAGCTACCAGGGAAGCCCAAGAGATTCTACGGGAAGTCATTAATTAACATGTATTAACCATACATTTTATGGGGAATACTATAGTGGTTTCTTAAATGTCAATTAAATGTGCCATATTTCTTTGATTTTAAGATGCTCTCAATTATAAGACATCATCAACTAAATTAACAAATACCATGTGAAATGTATACATAGAGTGCAAGATATACCCCAACTGCAAAAACAATTAAAATGTTAAAGCTCATGTGTCTAGAATCAAGGAAATACTGTATTATCTCTTTAACAGATTTATTGAGGTATAATTTACCATATAGCCATAAAATTCATCTACTTAAAACATATGGTTCAATGGCTTTTAGTATATTCACAGAATTGTATAATGACTACCACAACCAATTTTACACCATTTTAATCAGGTTTCAAAAGAAGCCTCTATGCCCACTAGCAGTCTCCTATCCCCCATCACCCACACACCAACCAACACTGTTGTCCTCATCTACAATTCCCCAACCCTAGGCACTCATCATTGATTTACATCTCTATGTATTTGCTTATTCTGGAAATTTCATACAAATGGGATCACATAATAAGTTGTCTTTGTTTCACTTAGGATGTTTTGGGAGGTCATCCATATTGTAGCATGTATCAATACTTCATTCCTTTTATTGTTGAATAAAATTCCATTGTACGATTATGCTATAATTTGTTTATTCATTCATCAGTTTAGGGACATTGGTGGTGTTTTCAAATTTTGGCTGTTATGAAAAGACCCTGATGCTGGGAAAGATTGAAGGCAAGAGGAGAAGCAAAAGTAGCAGAGGATGAGATGGTTAGATAGCATCACCGATTCAATGGATATGAATTTGAGCAAACTCCAGGAGAAAGTGAAGGACACAGAAGCCTGGCATGCTACAGTCCATAGAGTTGCAAAGAGTTGGACATGACTTAATAACTGAACAACAACATTATGAACAATGCTGCTATGAACATGTGTATACAAGTTTTTGTGTGGACATATGTTTTCAACTCTCTTGGGTAGGAATAAAATTGCTGAATCATATGGTAACTCTAGGTTTAACATTTCGAGGAACTGCCGAACTGTTTTCCAAAGTAGATGAATCATTTTACATTTCCACCAGCACTGTATGCAGGTTCCCATTTCTTCACAACCTTGTCAACACTTGTTATTGACTGTCTTTTTTATTATAGTCATTCTATGTATTATATATTAGAGTATAATGTTTCCTAGAACACTTGAAAAATATCCTCGAAGAGCTGGATATTTACATTGAAATATTTCTCCAGTACAAATGAGAATTTTTTACTGCTCTTTCAGTTTACATCATCTCCCTTCTGATGAGCAAAAACACCTTAAAAATGCCTAGGATGGGTTTGGTGGTATAATCTGGGATTGCTGTTCAGTCACTCAGTCATGTCCAACTCTTTGCAACCCCATGGACTGCAGCACAGCAGGCTTCCCTGTCCTTCACTAGCTCCCAGAGTTTGCTCAAACTCATGTTCATTAAATCAATGATGCCGTCCACTCATTTCATCCTCTGTTGCCCCCTTCTTCTCCTGCCATCCATCCTCTATGTAAAGCTAATGTAACAACAGAGCCAGAGATACCCATTTCAATAGCATAACCCAAAATATGAAAAGCATTCAGTTTTAAGGATCTAGCATTTTATTCTTTTTCTTTATAGCCCTGGCACTAAAATGATATTTACATTTTTTCTATCCAACTTTTTCATAGCATCCATTCTAAGTATTTTATACATTCACACACCAGAGAGCCTCCCTTCACCATGGTTTCCACTACCTTCACTCTCTGACAAAACACTGAAAGGGAATTAAAAGACCCTCAGTGAACACTAAGGATGTCTTCACCAGGCTGTCACTTACTAGCTAGGAAATGATGCCCCAAAATGCTGACCTATCACTTGACAATAATCAGGTCCCATTAGTAAGGAAGACTACTGATTTAAACTAATATTCTCACGAATATGATCACCTATATCAGACACTAATTTCACACTTACTTTCAGGTGTCGCATCTGCTGCTGCATGTCGCATACTTTTCAGCTGGTTTTGTATTCTTTGCAGTCTCTGCACTGCATGAAATAGCTTTAAAATACAATTACATCTATTACTTGCTTATTCTGCTGAAACCTACCATTTATATAGACAAGCAATGAAAAATACAAGTTCTACATAATTCTTATAAAGGGAATAAATAATAAGAACTAAGAAATTACTAAGCTAAAAATGTAACTGCTTTGCTCAATACATTTTCAAGTAAAACTTAAAAAAAAAAGCTTTCAGAAATGTTTCCTTTAGTTATTTGTTGAATTTGGTGATCAAGGAAAAATGCATGTTAAAGAAATATTTGTACTAGGCTTTTCTGTTAAAACATGGTTTTCTTAATTCCAAGGAATGCTAACATTCTCAGAAATGATGTCTGAGAATCAGAAAGTGAAGCTAAGTAACCATTGAGGGCACGGGCAAATGCAGCTTACTGTTCTAATATTATAATGCCAAGCCAAGTTCCAAAAGAGCCAAAAACCTAAACTGCCCATTTAGTAGGAAATGAAGCTGATTTGAAATACAATTCTAATACACAAGTCCACTCAGTTTTAAAATAGATTTTTAATAAAATAAAAGAAATACTTTCTGGCCAAATTATTTTTTTCTTTAAGGCAAAATCTAAAAATGTGGAGTACGTGTGATTTTGAGTCTTTTCATGATTTGCTTATTTGCCACTGGAGTAAAACATAAAAAATACCATGATTCGTGGAATAAAATAGACGTTCTCATACAGTCTGAATCTCAAGACACCCTTTAGAGATTCTAGAAGTTCTATTAACAGTTAATCTTACCGCTTAACATTACAATGGATATTCTGTAATGCTGGAACAACATAAGTTAAGCGTGGCCCAAGAGATAGTGCACAGATATGCATGAAGAATAGAAACCCAAAAGATGGTTTTGTTTTTGCTGTTGATACCATGCAATACTCTTAAAAAGAGTATTTCATCATGTTAACAAAGGGAAACATGAACATCCTCAATTCTGAAAACCTTCCTCTTAATACCTGAATGATCAGAAGAAACTATTTCTTTCATTATGACAATATAAACTTTTATGTGGGTACCTGATTTTTTTGTTCCTGTTTCTGTTGTGCAAGAAATTCTTCTCTCTCTTTCTCAACTCGAAGTTGCCTTGCTATTTTCAGCATCCTCTGATGATTCTGAACTGTCTCCACCTACAGTAAGGGAATAAGTAGTATATGTTACTGTCAGGTTTAAGAGAGACATTAGCATGTCACATGACCCAGACATTCACTTATAATTTCCTTTTGGTAAACAGCATTCCCTAGAGATGACACTAAAGTTTCAGACTCCAGGGCCTTAAAAGCTTTGGGCTGCTGCCTATGGAGTTTCCCTTTCTATTCATGTTATTTGACTCCATCTTCAGACGTACACTTATGCCTTGCTTAACCTTTACTTGCAATTCCTAACTGTTTGCAAGTCCTTGGGACTGAGGGTCAAAGTTTTACAGTGCTAATTCTTGCCTTACCCTTTTCTTCAAACGTTCAACTCTCTTAATAAGCTGATCCTTTTCTTCCTCCATTGCACTGATATCCTAAAAAGCAGTCAAGAAGACATTATAAGAAAAAATATTCTTTGTCTGTAGAATTCAGATAAGGTTTCCATATGATTACACATTTACCACTTCCATCACTTATAACCAGAGCATTAAGAAACAAAGATCCTCTTTTGGAAGAAGTGCATTTCTATCTGCCACCCGCCCTTCCTCTCCAGGGTTCTTTATGCAGAGTAATTTATTTGGTAGCTTGATATTCATTTAGAAAAGCAACAGGATATAAAATAGTAAGGTGAAACTGCCAACTAGCCCAATTGTGTTCTAATTGGGTTCAAATGTGTTCAAAATGTGTTCTAATTCCAATATGGACACATGATTTTTCAAAAATCTTTTATAATGGATAGTGTGCAGGTCTAAAAACATGAACAACAGCTGCTGACATCCCATCTGCTCTGTTAAACACCAAACTTTATGTTCTGTCAGTTTTCCAGTAAAATTATTTTTAAGGTTATGGTGTTTTCAATATATAAATTTGTGTCTGGTTTTGTCAATTAACCAATTCCCTTTCTAAAAATAAAAGATTTCAAAAAAAATATTTCCACCAGCTCCACAATTTTTTCTAGTGAAAACAAAACAAGCAAAAAAATCCTTGCTAAACCTCAAAAACTAACGGGCTAACTCTCACAGTAATAATAAAGGAAAAATACACATGGTAGTCAGTATTGCCAGGATCTGGGGAAACAGGGACTGTTATTATCGGTGGTATTGTCCTGAAGAATAATTTCAAAAGTCTTAAAATAAATGTGCATACCTTCTGGCTCAGTAATTTTACCCATGGGAATCTATAAGGATTCTCATAGAGGCTAATTATATCTAAAATTTGGAAATGACCCAAATGTCTAAGGATTATTAAGTGAATTATGGCACAACACAATTAAAGTTACTAAAAATTATGCAGAAGAATGCTGGATAACATGAGAAGTCATGATATGGCATTACTTGAAAGCAGACTATGACATTTATATATAATACAATACCAAGAAAAAGGTTTACATATATTCACTAAAATAGCAGTAAAAGTTACCAAAGAACATGGGATTTTAAGTGAATTAGTTTCTATTTTTTGCTTAATCGTATTTCCTTACAAAGAATATGTTCAAAAACACTCTGGTAATAATTAATAAAATTAAAATCACAGACTCTAGGTTATTTTATCATTTCTGTTTACTCACATGGCATAATGGAGGAACAGCAGATGGGTATCTATCACCTTTACTCCATCCTTTGTGATAAGTATCTACTTATGGGTCTTTCTTTTCTATTAGATGTGACTTCATCTTTCGTTTCTAATACATTCAACAAACTCTTATTGGAGACCTACTACCTGCAGGGGACTGGGGATAGACACTGGGGATATTGTCATAGATAAGATATACAGACATGGTCCTCGCCCTCACAGAGTTTAAAATGTCTGGGAAGACAGACACTAAAATAATCGTAAATAAAATGAGTGTTATAAAACAAAAAGAATTGGGGTGAACTAATCTATCTAGAGAATCAGGGAAGGGCCTCCCTGAGGAAGCAACTTCTAATGATTCTTGTTTGAGAAGATAAAGATGTTATTTCTAAAAATATAAAATTCAAGAAAGTGAGAATTAGCAATTTTTTAAAGAAAGAACTTATATGTCTGGTGAGAGTACAAAAATACAAAAATATTTTTTGGAGAACACTAAATAACATGCATCAAGAAAGACATAAAAGTCCTCAAATGCTTTCTACTTCTAGAAATTTATTCTAAGGAAATAATCACAGATAGCCCAAAATAAATTTATGTAGAAGATAAAATCATAGTATTATCTATAATAGCAAAATATGAAAACAAAACACCAAAACTGTAAAACTATCTGTACCATAGAATACTATTTACTCACTGAAAATCACATTGTAGAAAGATAACAATGGGAATATATTCACAATGCAATGATTAAAAAAACAAGATACAAATAATTATGTATAGTGTGATCCCAAATATATACACACACACATATACACAAAATCTGAAAGGATATAGTGCAACAAATGTTAACAATTAGATTTTTTTCCCTTTATTTTTCTGTCTTCTATAACACAGACTTTATGTGTGTGTGTGTGTGTGTGTGTATATACATATATATTAGATAAAGACCCAAAACATAATTACTTTTAATCCATGGTAGTGATCTATATGGGCTTCCCTGGTAGCTCAGTGGTAAAGAATCTGCCTGCCAATGCAGGAGACTTGGGTTTGATCCATGGCTCAGAAAGATCCCCAGGAAGAGCACATGGCAATCCACTCCAATATTCTTGCCTGGGAAATCTCATGGACAGAGGAGTCTGGTAGGCTCTGGTCCATGGGGTTGCAAAAAAGTTGGACATGACTTAGTGACTGAACAACGACAAAGTGCTCTATATATCAATAGTACATAAGAATTAAATATGAGTTAACCCTGGCCTCATTAATGTCTTCGGTAAAGAATCAGCAAAGGTCCTACAAAAGAAAATTTGCCATTTGCTATCATTAGTTTCTATAGTCTTTAAGACATTCTGAATTTAATTCAAATCCCCACCAAAATCATTATTGTTTTTTCTTTACCCTTCTTATTTCTGCTGTAGAAAATCCAGATGTCTTGAGCTGCTCACATTCTTTATGCAAAGTTTTAAAGGCTTCCATCAAATCTTCATACTAAAAGAACAAGTTAAAAAATTATAAACTAATGACGAGATCCAGTAGGTTTCCTTAATCAGGTCATCTATTAACTTATAGTCATTATTTAATCAGTATAGAACAGCACTAAAATATATCCTTAAACATTCATACAGGACACAAAAATGTTGGTGTATATAATCTGGCCTCTAAAGACTTCCCTGATTACTTTCCTAACCAACACTCCATATGCTAGCTATGTTGATCTTCTTTAAAGTCCACCTTCACTTTACACACCCTATTCCATCCACCTTCACTTTACACACCCTATTCTGTCTGAGAACACTCTATGACTCCCTCATTCCTTTCCTGGATAACTTACTCATCCTTCAGATCTCAGCATCCCCAAAGCAGCCTTCTCTAGCCCCGTATCTATTCTATATGAGTACCATGATATCAGAGTAAATATCATATAAACTTATAACTGCTAGCTACTTATCTGTCTCCACCTTTGGACACTGAGAGTCAGGAGGACAAGAATCATATTACTTGTGGAGGCTTCTGTATCCCTAGGGCCTAGAACAGTACTTAACCGATACAGGTGTTCAATAAAAAAGCAGTTATAGGAAAAAAAAAGTCACAATTCTTACCCCCAAATTTTTTAAAATAGGTTTTTTTGTGGATAATGACAGAAAGTTAATATTTTTTCTTGACATATATTCTGCAAGTCTATAAATCAATCATTCTAAAACTCATTTAGAAAGACAATGTGAATTTTTTATTAGGTTCTCCGCTAAAAGACTGGCTAAACATGTAAATCATTTCACACATACACTTCAAACATGCTTCAAGAACAAATATGTCTTTAGTATTATTAATTCTTCCATTAATAATTAGTTGGGTATGTTTGTAAAAACTATTAATGAACTTCCTTCAGAGGAATTAGTTTCTATCAAATTTATTGATAGGGGAGGGTAGGGAGGAGGAAATAGTGCATGTGTACACTCTCTATTGCTTACATTGTGTAAAGCCTTCAAAGGTAGGGGCTGCAATGGTGCTGTGCTTTCTCAAGGCGTCTACTGTATTATTTGACATAATTATTTGCATAAACCTTTCAACCCTTGAAATGTCTTAAGAGATCAATACTGACTCTATTTTGAGTGACTATCATGGCTACCCAAAATGACAAAATATATGGATAAAAAGCATTTAGTAGATTGTTTCAATTCAACACAAATTTTGAGCCCATACCATACAGAAGCAACCCTACAAAATCCTGGAGGAAAACAAAGATGGCTAAGACATGATACCTGTCCTTAGAGATCTCACATATCTACTGGGAGACAGACTGACAAACTATTAAAATTCACAACAAACTGGCACAAATTGGTCTAAAGACCTACTATAAAACAAAAGTACAAATGCTAAAGAGAAGCAAATTTTTTCTTTTAAATCAAAGTTCTTTGCAATCTTAAGCCTAAATTCTCTAATTTCCATAGTCTATTTCCATAGAGTGGTTTTGACAGTCTTCAATCAGCAACATGCTTTGAAATCCCAGGACCAGAAGCCAGACCAGCCAGAATCCTGTATAGTTAAGAGCTTTAATATCTTAAGGCTAGAAACCCAATATTACACCAAAACTCCGGTGAGGAAAGTACACTGAAATTGCAAATTCCTGGTTCTTTCTCTACCTTCTGCCTGATTAGGACATCCTTCGAGATCATAAGCCTGGCTTCTTTGCCTACACACAATTTTTGAAGGTGCTCACAAGTCCCAATCCACCTGGTATAGTGCCAATTTATACCTTTTGCTCTAGTGTAATTATTATGATAACCACCCTCCTAATTTGGATGACAAATTATATAGTCACCTAACTAATTAATTAACAAAGTATTCTGCAGTTCCAAGCCCAGGATCCTATCTACCCACAATTCGTTTTTTAAAAAATCCACATGTATTTATTCATTTAAGGACATTTATAAATTTTTGAGGTGATGGCAGATTCAGTTGTAAGAAATAGTACAAAGAAAGTCCACATACCCTTTATTGAACCCCCACCCTCATGGTACTGAGTCGGTCAAAAAGTTCATTTAACTATGCACAATTCCTAAGTGGTAAATTATTCTAAAATCCTAATTTCAGGATTTTTTCTATCTACATACTCTATCACCAAAAAGGTACTGGTGTTCAGAAGTCAATATTTTCATAGAGTGATTACAGGTGAAAATTATTGATAACAATTTATCCTTTTGGTTCCAATGGAAATACAGAAACAGCAAATAAACTAAAGTGAGATTAACATATATTTGAAACCTTGAAACCCATTACATATAGCTTAAAAATACCATTTATATATTGTATACCTGTTTATTGGTATCAGCCACGGTTTCATCCTGGAGAAACTCACTTGGTACCTCAAGTTTTATTAAAAAACGAGCTAAATATGCTCTTTTTTTCAGTTCATTAGTTCTCTGAAGAAGCCAGTGGAGCACTGGGTAAATTACAGGTTTACTTCCAATCACCAGACCCTGACGAAAGGTACTCCTATAAAAAGAAAATACACACACACACACACACACACACACACACACACACACAGAGGCTTATAAGTAAACCTTGAAAAGAGTTAACGTTTGCTCAAATCCAATTTACACTTTTCCATGACTATTTAAAAAAGATAAAACCAAGGCTATTCTAAAGTAAGTCTGCACGTTGACAATAATCATAAAATTAGGCCCTTAATACATCACTGGAATATATGAGGAGGTTGTTTTGGAACCATTAACTGGTCAGTCCTAATACTTCACTTCACTGACTGGACAGGCTTAAAGTGTAGCTTTTGTATAGGATGGCAGATAAATGATAAAATAGAAACATGGATTTGCCTGACTTTTTTGATTAAGAGAAAGAACTGACTCACTTAAGACTCCTACATAACAAAATAACATTAAAAAATCATGATTATTTTGAAATTCAGTGATTTTGTGAGGCCACTGACTTAGGGAAAACAAGTATTGCCAGAAAGACTGATTATGAAGGTTTGGATATTAAAGTACAGCTCTAAGAAAGCAACACTTGATCAGATTCTTACATGTCTGTAGCATTTCCTGGAGGTTTGTATTTAAGGATACCAAGAAGGCTCAACATCCTTTTGGCTGTTTGCTCTGGCATCTCCTCTCTGATATCAACAACTTGCTAACAAATAAAGAAATTGAAAAAATGTTATTATTACAATATAACAAAGTACAATATTGAAACTCACTGTCAAAATTGTTCTACTAGAGCGTAACAGTCACAATGGTCTCTTCATAAAACAGATTAAGTATGGAGTCTTCCAGATTCCAAAGGAGGGTACATACAAGCTAGATCAGGATTCATACTAAGAATGCCAAGCTTAAAAAAGTCTCCAGTGGAAAAAACCAGTGTATAAGAGACATGAGCTAACTTGCAACACAATAAAACCTTTTGTAAAAGCATTTTCATTCCAGGACCAAATTTATTTATGTTTGGAAGTGCACAAATAATTTCTAAGTAAGGTACAAGGAGGTAATTTAATTTTTGAGCTAGTAGAGAAATCTTAAAGATCATCTACTATCACTTTATAGGAGTGGAAAACTAGGCCCAGAGAGGTTAAATAATTTGCCCCCAAATCACAGATATTTAGTGGCAGAAACTTGCTTTTTTTGCCACCCTTTTCATCACAGAGAAAAAGAAAACTCTTACCTTTGGGTCAATCTCAGCCAGAACATCATTGAGAACTTGTAATAGTTGCATTGGCTCCAGAGAATCAAATGTGATTAAATTATAGTTCTTCCTAAAAGGTTCCTTATTGAGATTGTCCACGATGAATTTGATTTGATCACTCATAATTAGGTCTTATAATTTAAACTAAAGAGTAAAAATACAGGAAAAAAATTCCTCAATATTAGAAACAAAAAGTCTGTATTAACAAAATACAGACACCAGAAGGTCAGTATTAAGTTCATAGGAAGTAGGCATGGAATGTATTCTACATGGAATATAAAATGCTGTGAAAAGAGTTATTTTGTTGAAAGAAAGAGTATGCAGACTTTATTAGGAATGCTACAGTACATATTGATAATATTCAACGACATATTTTTGTATATTCATCTGATAGCTATCATCTGAATTAACATGGACAAGTGAATATAAAACCCACCCACATTAACATTTCTTCCATTCAGCTCCACAATTTCAACCCAGGGGTAAAACTTAGCCTGTAGACATGCTTCGAATTTTTTTTTTAATTAGAAGCCCACATTAATCCAAGTTTCCAAATTCTCTGGATAATCAGATCTGGGAACCCTGGACCCACTAGGTATATGGCCACAACCAACTGAAGCTGGGTGAGTGAGTGAAAGTCACTCAGTCATGTCCAACTCTTTGCAACGCCATGGACTATACAGTCCATGGAATTCTTCAGGCCAGAATATTGGAGTGGGTAGCCTTTCCTTTCTCCAAGAGATTTTCCCAACCCAGGGATCAAACCCAGGTCTCCCGCATTGCAGGTGGATTCTTTACCAGCTGAGCCACAAGGGAAGCTGGGCAGAGGTTGCAAACTTCAGCCTTAGGTATGCATTCTTTGAGCTTCCCAGGTAGCTCAGTGGTAAAGAATCCACCTGCCAGTGCAAGAGATGTGGGTTCAATCCCTGGGTTGGGAAAATCCCCTGGAGAAGGAAATGGCTACCCACTCCAATATTCTTGCCTGGGAAATCCCATGGACAGAGGAGCCTAGAGGGCTATGGTCCATGGGGTCATGAAAGAGTCAGACATGACTTAGGGATGAAACAATATGCGCTCTTTGGTTTTGTTTTGGTTTCCTCCACCATGCACTCTTCACCCATTGATGTTCTTGGCATGGCCTATAGGCCTCAACTCTGCCACCCTTGAGTAACTCAGGCCTTCACTTTCTTGGCCTTCAACTGTTCATCTCTGCTTCTCCCATTCCAAATCATTTTGTAGGCTTCTCATTGTCTACACAATAAAGTCCAAACTTCTTGGGTTTTGAGACCCCCATAACATCTAGCACAATTTATGCGCTAAGTCACTTCAAGACCATCCCCAAGAAAAAGAAATGCAAAAAGGCAAAATGGTTGTCTGAGGAGGCCTTACAAATAGCTGAGAAAAGAAGAGAAGTGAAAGGCAAAGGAGAAAAGGAAAGATATACCTATTTGAATGCAGAGTTCCAAAGAATAGCAAGGAGACAGAAGAAAGCCTTCCTCAGTGATCATTGCAAAGAAATAGAGGAAAACAATAGAATGGGAAAAACTAGAGATCTCTTCAAGAAAATTAAAGATACCAAGGGACACTTCATGCAAACATGGGCAAAAAAAAGGACAGAAATGGTACGGACCTAAAAGAAGCAGAAGATATTAAGAAGAGGTGGCAAGAATACATAGAAGAACTATACAAAAAAGATCTTCATGATCCAGATAACCATCATGGTGTGATCCACTCACCTACAGCCAGACATCCTGGAATGTGAAGTCAAGTGGGCCTTAGGAAGCATCACTACGAACAAACCTAGTGGAGGTGATGGAATTCCAGTTGAGCTATTTCAAATCCTAAAAGATGATTCTGTGACAGTGCTGCACTCAATATGCCAGCAAATTTGGAAAACTTAGCAGTGGCCACAGGACTGGAAAAGGTCAGTTTTCAGTCCAATCCCAAAGAAAGGCAATGCCAAAGAATGTTCAAACTACTGCACAATTGCTCTCATCTCACACACTAGCAAAGTAATACTCAAAATTCTCCAAGCTAAGCTTCAATAGTACATGAACTGGGAACTTCCAGAGGTTCAAATTGGATTTTAAAAAGGCAGAGGAACCAGAGATCAAATTGCCAGCATCCTCTGGATCATGGAAAAAGCAAGAGAATTATAGAAAAACATCTAATTCTGCTTTATTGACTATGCCAAAGCCTTTGACTGTGTGGATCACAACAAACTGTGGAAAATTCTTAAAGAGATATGAATACTGGACTACCTTACCTGCCTCCTGAGAAATCTGTATGCAGGTCAAGAAGCAACAGTTAGAACTGGACATGGAACAACAGACTGATTCCAAATCAGGAAAGGAGTACGTCAAGGCTGTATACTGTCACCTGCTTATTTAACTTATATGCAGAGTACATCATGCAAAATGCCTGGCTGGGTGAAGCACAAACTGGAATCAAGATTGTTGGGAGAAATATCAATAACCTCAGATATGCAGATGACACCACCCTTATGGCAGAAAGTGAAGAAGAACTAAAGAGCCTCTGGATGAAAGTGAAAGAGGAGAGTGAAAAAGCTGGCTTGAAACTCAACATTCAGAAAAGTAAGGTTATGGCATCCAGTCCCATCACTTCATCACAAACAGATGGGGAAACAATGGAAACAGTGAGACTATTTTTGGGGGGCTCCAAAATCCGTGCAGATGGTGACTGCAGCCATGAAATTAAAAGATGCTTGTTCCTTGGAAGATAAGCTATGACCAACCTAGACAGCATATTAAAAAGCAGAGACATTACTTTGCCAACAAAGGTCCATCTAGTCAAAGCTGTGGTTTTTCCAGTAGTCAAGTATGGATGTGAGAGCTGGACTATAAAGAAAGTTGAGTGCCAAATAACTGATGCTTTTGAACTGTGGTGTTGGAGAAGACTCTTGAGAGTCCCCTGGACTGCAAGGAGATAAAACCAGTTAGTCCTAAAGGAAATCAGTCCTGAATATTCATTGGAAGGACTGATGCTGAAGCTGAAACTGCAATACTTGGGCCACCTGATGTAAAGAACTGAATCACTGGGAAAGATCCTGATGCTGGGAAAGATCGAAGGCGGGAGGAGAAGGGGACAACAGAAGATGAGATGGTTGGATGGCATCACTGACACGATGGACATGAGTTTGAACAAGCTTTGGGAGTTTGTGATGAACAGGGAAACCTGGTGTGCTGTGATCCATGGGGTCGCAGAGTTGGGCACAACTGAGCAACTGAACTGAACTGACTGAAGTCACTTCAGTTGTGTCCAACTCTTTGTGACCCTATAGACTGTAGCCCACCAGGGTCCTCCATCCATGGAATTCTCCAGGCAAGAATACTGGAGTGGGTTGCCACGCCTTCCTCTGATCCTCCTGACCCAGGGATCAAACCTGCATTTCTTTCTTCTCCAGCACTGACAGGCAGGTTCTTTACCACTAGCGCCACCTGGGAAGCCCAAGCTCAATTTAGCATTCCTCAGTTTTGTTTCCAAATTGTTACCTTACATCCTTTCAAACTTCAGCTGACTAAAATAAGCACTACTCTCTACATAGTTTTTCCATCTTTGCCTTCAGTTGATGCTGTTTTTTCTGCCTAGGGCTGTTTTCCCTTTCCCCTATTTCCAGAGGTGCAAAACCTTACCATTTCTCAAGCCCTGTTCAAGCCCAGGCAAGAATACTGGAGTGGGTTGCCATTTTCTTCTCCAGGGGATCTTCCCAACCCAGAGATCAAATTCAAGTCTCCTGCATTGGTAGATGGATTCTTTACCTCTGAGCCACCAGGAAGCCCACCTGAGGACATATCTGTGCCTAATTCTATCTTTGAATATCGCATATAAAACAGCGACTTCTTCCACTAGAATGAATTTGTTCACAGGCCCAAGGCCAGAAAATAAGCATAAGCCTAAACAAGGTGGCAGTGAGGAAGATTATAACTTTTTAAAATTGATTATCTGATTATTTAATGGCTGAAACAGCTTAACCATGGCTCCTAGTGTCTCTTGCATGCAGACATCATGTGTTTAGTATGGGGAAAAGTGGTAGAAATTTGCAGACAGGCAGTTTTTTAGAGTAGCAGTTTTAAAAAATGAATTTAACAGTGAACTGCCCAGAAAAAAGAAATAAGGAAAAAAATATTTCAGTGTTCCCTAATAGTTTTTAACCATCAAATGAAGAGATGCTAATTTACTTAAGACATTAGTTGGAGTTGCATGCATCTTGCTCTGAAACAGATTTTTTAAATTGGGTAGGTAGAGTTGGATACTTAGAAAACATCAAAATGTAAAAGTATTATCATTTTCTTATAATTAGGATAAAATTATGAGTAAATGATTATATCATTTTTGAAAAATAAGCCAAAACATAGTAAAAAAAGATAACCAATGTGGTTTAAAATTTTAAGGCTTCCTTTAAGCTATAAAAGGAAAACCTTTAGATAAATAAAAATCCACACTGGAGATGCAAATTTTCCACTGTGTAAAGTATATTAAGTAAAAGTTCACGTCACAATCTTCACACACGGATATACTCAATTTTTCATTCTTTAGAAACTATATATATGTAAAAATTGTATGTATATAAAACATAACATATACACACATATATCCTTATTTTCCCTTCCAAAACCCAAAATACTAGGATAAACGCATAAAACGTTACTAGGAGAGGAAAAGAAACCAGTTGATTTTCACTCCTAGCTGCCCACCAGCTTTCAGATGGTCACCCGCTAAGGACGAAGATGTACTGAATAGGTAGGTTGTCTATGCCCAGTGGGTTCTCCGCTCTAAAATTAGCAAAAGCAATTACTCTCCCTGTTCCAGCGGAAAGTCGCCTCACTAATTCACAAGCACAAGCACTCACCCACATAAGAACCCGAGGGGGTGGGGGAGAATTAAAACCAGGGCAGGCGTTTATCTGGCACAACTCGGAACAGAAGCGGCGCTATCCGGGTCCCAGGCTGGCACAAGCCTCCTAAGATTCCCCAAAATAGTTCCCCCGCCACTTCCCGCCCCTGGGGCTCGGGAGAGGGGGCAGAGGACCCCACGTCTGACCCAGGCACCTCGCGAGGGCTGCTCTGGGCTCCCCTACGGTTCATCTTGTTGGGGAGCCGCCT